TTTTCATATGCTTTTGCATTTAATCCAAGTGCCCAAGAACCCACCTAGAGCCTTTGTCCTATTAAGCTACATTTCAAGCCCAGGCCCCAGGGGCTCAGCTGGCCTTTCCTCTTATCAACCTGCCACCACCACCACTCTGTTCTTGGGTCCTTGCTGTAAGACAGGCACAACTACCCCGTTGGTGTGACTAAGGGTTAAGCATCAACCTTTGAACCAGGAGGTCATGGTTCGATTCCTAGTCAGGGCACATGTCCAGGTTGCAGGTTCAATCCCCAGTGTGAGGCATGCAGGAGGCAGCCAGTCAATGATTGTCATCATTGATGTTTCTATCTATCTCTCCTTTCCTTTCTCTCTCTGAAATTAATAAAGACATATTAAAAAACAAACAAACAGGCACACGTTGGATTCCAACAAATCTGAGTTTGAATCCTCGTTCAAACTTGCAAGATAAGTGATCAGGGATTAGTCATTCAAACTTTAGTTTTTGGGTTTTTGGGGTTTTTTTTTTTAGTTTTTTAAACCTATAAAATGTAAATAATTCATAGCCTATGGGCTTATTGTGAGGATTAAATTAGATACATATGAAAGCATGTCATGGGCTTGGCACAGAAGTTTCCATTAATGGTAGTTATTACAGAGACAAATTCTGGTTGCAGAGTGGAATGTAATGTCTTCAGGTACCTTTTGCTAGTTCTGGAGACAAGCACATAAGCTCTTCTCATTTTAAGGGTCCACTGCTATTTTCACGGAAAGAGATAAAATAAATACAGAGAACATTTCAACAACACTCCTTAAGCACTCTTTGAGCCCTGGTGATGTAACATTCACAGGATAGAGAAGGCTGCTGCGCCCCCTGCTGTCATTGTAGTGTGGGAAAACAGACAATCAGAAGACATGTCCAGTAATAACAAGGGCTGTAATTAAAGCAGGTAGATACAATAGGAAGTGACTGGGAGAAACCTAAGCTTGGACTGTCAGAAAAGGCATCTAAGGCAGTAATACTTGAGACACAAATAACGAGCCGACCAAGTGACGATCTAGGGCAGTGGTTCTCAACCTTCCTAATGCCGCGACCCTTTAATACAGTTCCTCATGTTGTGGTGACCCCCAACCATAAAATTATTTTCGTTGCTACTTCATAACTAATTTTGCTACTGTTATGAATCGTAATATAAATACCTGATATGCAGGATGTATTTTTATTGTTACAAATTGAACATAATTAAAGCATAGTGA